AAACTCAGTTCAAAGACAACCAAAAGAAGTACTGCATTAGCAAGAACATCTGATAACTAGGTGAGCAACAAAGTGCTTGTTTGCTTTTGGTAATTTAGTACACAAAGTTTGTGTTTCAGCTCTTACCGCTCTAACAAAGCATGAGGCAAAAGAAAATTATTACAATTTAGAAAAGTATTTCATCTATTCTTGAGTCATCAGATATTATTTGGTTGATTTGTACTCATCAATCTTTATTTCAGTGACTTTTCCTGAGGTTTACTGTGTTATTTTTCATTCTGAGTGAGTCGTTTAATAGAAAAGGGAATTAGCATTCCTTGGTTGAAGCTGGTAGCAGGGCAGTGATAATGTCAATGGCTTTAAAATGTCCTGTATGGACGGTGATGTCCCTTAAAATCCCAAAGGCACAGACAGACCTACAGAGCCTCTGTACAGCCACACAAAAGTTTTAGAGAAAGATTATTTCAGGATAAGTGAGAATCTAGAAAACGCTTTATAAGAAGGAGTCATTATTATAAAAGTGAAGATTTGATGAAATTGAATTTAGTGGTATTCTGGGTTCACAATCGGTGCTAAACACATGATCAACACTGATTTATGAGCTGTGGAGCCTCAATCAGTATTTAATGGATTGAGTAGTCAACTGACCAATAATAATAATAATAATAATAATAATAATAATAATCAGCAACTACTTTGATAATAAATTGTTTAAATCCTCTGTTTTGCAAAATTGTACGAAACAATGCTAATATTTGACAACAAAGTGAATATTTTTGCATTTTGGATAAGTGGTTGGAAAAAAACAAGCAACTAAAGGTTATAAACGTCAGGATTGTTACACTATTTTGACATTTTGTGTCCCCCCCAAAAAAGAAAATCTATTAAAAATAATTTCCAGATTACTCTGTAATATAAATAACTGTTAGTGGCAGCCTAATGAGCTGATGTCTGATTATCCTGAAGAAAAAAAAAACCAAAACATTTCCAACTGAAGGAAGTATCACAAAGTCAGAGGCGTTAGCATTTTCCAAATGGAACCCTGTGACAGATAATTAATCTTAGCATTTACAAAGCATGAAAGGTTCCATTTTGACAACACATATTCACACACAGAATATCTCTATGGCTCTGTAAAAATGTCAGTCATTCACTTTAACTGCCACAGTCCCAGTTCCACAAAGCAAAACCAGATGTTGCAGAGATGGCTCTTAAAAACTGCAACTTGAAAGAGAATAAATTTGGGGTGAAGCCAGGGTTGGGTTTAAAATATCGGCTCAAAATTAACTGTTAACAGTTATTAACAGTTTTAGGTCTGAATAAAGTTTAGGTTCACAAAAGAAAAAATATAAAGATGACTTTGGGTCTTGACAGAAATGAAGTGTGGTATATCAGAGGAATGAAACACAATGGTCACTTCAGTTCATTCTGTTAAATGTTGACCAATATAAATGTTGATGTTTAGCAGCAGTGAAGTCCTGTCTGCATCATTTAGAAACTGTCCACTAGCTCACAATGAAAAGGGGAACTCTACTGATTAAGGGGAGGTTGAGTAAAATGTGGATACATCTTGGGCTTCTTGAATATGCATCCAACACTCAGAAGAAAAGTGTGGAATTCTCTAAACTTTAAGTAATGAAATAGTATTTAGTTGTCATTAGAGCTAAATGAAATGCAGACTGAAAACTGGTGTCAGGAGAATAGTAAAATAAAATAAAATAAAATAATTCTCTGCTGGTGGAGTTTACAATTATACACCCCGGAGCACTGTGCGAAAGCGGGCAGGCTGAAATCAGGAGAGCAACCCAGAGACGAAGACGCAAGCAGGGCAAGCGAGGAGGACTCCATGCTAGGCTAAAAGCGTGTGCTACTCGACCGCCATTACCCAGCCTCTTCCTAGCTAACGTACAGTCTCTGGAAAACAAACTGGACGAGCTAAGGGCTAGGATTACAGCACAACGGGTCATGTCTGTCATAATTCTCGCTCCACTGTGAATTATAAAATGTAAACATGTACCCCAGTAATTAATGCAATAGTAATAGAATGTTAAATATGGCAGTTTATGCTCATTAAAATGTTTTTATCTCAGTATAAACAAAACTTGTTCACTACTGTATCTGCCGAGGTACTGCTGGTGATTTCAATCGTGCAGTTTTCTAAGAATGTTCTGGTAAGTAGGTAGGTAGGGGGGAAGGGTAGAACTTTATTGTTCCCACAGTGGGGAAATTCCAATGCTCCAGCAACAGTAAGGGACAAAAACAACAGAGAGCAAGCAACAAGACACCATAAGAACAGATACCACACACCGATCTTGATAGACAAATTCAGAAAACACGGGAAGAAAAAAAAAAAGGACAGAGCTACTGGACCTCGCTGCGCCATGTCTTAAAAAACAAATCGAGAATACCCAAAAAACAAGACAGTACAAGCATTTCAGGGAAATCAGGAACAGATATCGCTCTCACTCAAATTACAGACAGGGCAGTCTGTGGTCAGAGGGGGAGGGGCGGAAGTGCACGGATTCCTATCATTAGCATACGGTATGGTCTAGACCAGGGTGCCCAATACGTCGATCGCGATCGACCGGTAGATCGCGTGCCATTAAAAAATAAATTAAATGTATCCGGCGTAAAACACGTGCCAAATGTTAACATGCGAATAGTGAGTGTGATGATTCGCTATGGCGACCCCTAACAAAGTGCCAATCATTCATATATAGCCTCTCATCCATCCTCCCTATGGCGTTTGCTACTTGATTGACATGCAGGGCAGCCAGTCTGAGATCTCGTCTTTTCTGACTCACTAGTCACCAAACACGCGCGTAGGTCGATCATTTTGACTTCGTCATTTGAAAAGTAGCTCGCAAGGCGAAAAAGTGTGGGCACCCCTGGTCCAGAGTTTTATTGTCCTTTGTGTAGGCGGGTGCCATGGTTAGGGTCTGAGAGATGAGGATTAGGGCCCAATCCTGTGCTGTGTCTGCCGAGACACCGTGCCATGAGGTCCATGAGGAACTGTGTTTCATTTCCCTGCATGAAAGTCATGCATATATGTGGAAAGGACAATAATGGGGATATCTACAAAACCTGTCACAAATTACATTCAGGTGCATAAAATATTACGGCACTGCAATTTTTCAATTGAGTGGCTTACACTGATGATGTACACCTCCGCTTAGGATCTGCTGCCTGAAGGCTGTTGCACATGTGTGAAATGGGAGGGAGTATAGACGACAGTCTTAAGTTTATAGCAACTGAACTTTAATATGGTTGAGGAAATTGCCAAACATATTTCGAGGTAGCAGTCACGTAGTCTCCTGCCAGTCAAATGATCTTTTATTTCCTTCAGTAATTCAAGCATGGTTTATAACCTGAACGCCTGTAAAGTCCCTCACATCCTCCTCTGGTGAGTGATGTGATTTACAAACAGCTTCTCCCTCCTCAAATGTTGTTAACTCAGATGAGGTCTCATGACCAACAGCTGCCAGGCTGTCAGCAAGATTTTATACCTGCTTTCTCCTGACTTTATGTCCCAGTCACAGTTTCCTCTGTCACAGCAGAGGTTAGTCAGGTGCTGAGGGTACTTGTATCAATTCCCATTATGTCCTCTCTGATTTTTGCATCCCTGAGCGGGAACACCTTAAAATACATATTGCATGAGACCAGACGCACAAATTCCCTCAGTTCCACTTTTCTTTTTCTCTGGTGCCAAACCCCACTTTGACTCCTTAGTAAATATGAACACACTCAATTTCACTAGTTAGTGCCAAAATGAGGTGCAAAGCCTTAGTAAATATCCCCTTAGATTTGACCCTAAACCCTACACTTCAGGTCAGCATTTAGCAATCTGTGCACATGCATTTCCACATCAGTACTCTTCCAACCAGCTGACCCCTGCAAGCTCTGGTCAGCTTGTGAGAACAGTTGCATAAAGGCTTCTGTGGCTGTTGAGAGACTATGTCAAGCCTGAGAAAATAACCTGAATAAAATCAGTGTGAGTTCAAAGGCTACAATATTATTATTATTATAAACTTGAGATATGGAGTTTTAAAGTCATGGGTGTGTGAGGGAGTGGGAAGTTGCATAATGGTTAAACACAGGGTCCAGTGTTTTCTCAGGTTGATTTTCTCTTTTTTTTGAGTCCTCTACTGTAAGTTTGTGAAAATGAAATACTAAATTACTAGAGTAGGCTACCCCTTTAGCACAATAAAAACGAACGGGTACTTTGGGTAAACAAACTGCAGTTACTGTAAAAGTATTAATAACATCAACTGGTGACCATCAAGGATTTCTTCCATGTTTAAAATCTAAATGACCAAAACAGTTTCCAAACTGTTGGCCCAACACTGACCAAGGCACAGAGCACTTACTAACTACAGACTACAATGTCTGTATTTAGTAAACTGAGGCACAGAAACATGTTCCCACACTGGCAAATGACAATGACAATGATTTTGTTATTTCACATTTTAAAGTGACAGTATTTACTTCTCTTCAAATTTAACAACTGTGATTTAGGCTGGTATTTTCAGGTTCTCGTGGCTATCAGGCCATCAGGCATGATTCAATTAATAACCAAATATCATTACCAGCGCCTTTTTTTTTTTTTTTTTAAATCTGACCTGCCAATTCTGATTTTGGCTGATTCCTATTTTCTTTCTTTCTAAGTACTGTAGTTGACAGCATACAGAAAACATTTTTGCAACTTTTCTTTAATGAAAAATTTAATTGTAATAAAAATAAAATGTATTAAAATGTTACATTTTCTGTCTTTCTCACCTTTTTAGACAATTAAAATGAAGTGCAATATTTGTACTTTTCCAAATATAAACAGGTGTAACAGATAATGGAAACAGAAGCATGTCTGTTACATCAGTCCTACTGAGTGTGTGTAGTTTGTATTTACTGTTTTACCACAGCTTGGATAAACTGTACATATACATGCATTTCATGTGTAGCCAGTAACTCCTTCTTTGTGTACTAGTAGATTTGGATGTAGTTTTCCCTTCTCCAAGGTGTTTCTGTAGCTCCTCTGTATATTGTTTGAATGTCAAGCGCTTCCAATGTGTGAGTGAAGAAGTGTCCGGCACAGACACTAGTGAGAGTCTCACTCAAGGTGCACATGAGATGCTTGCTACACACTGCACATGCTACAATTTGGTCTGTGCCGCTGTGTGCGTGATGTGGACTGTCATGCCTCTAAATCTGATCGCCACAGAATCTGAAACCTCAAAAGTGATTGGCCAGTCACCGGTGAAGACCTATCACACTGCAAAACGGCCATCTCTGATTTCCACCGATCAATTGGTGCATCTCTAATACTTCACCAACATTAGTATTCGAAACTCAATCTGACAAGACTTATCTAAATGTTTGAATTAAGCTAGGAGTTACACTTCAAGAGACTGCAGTAGAACACCTACAAGCTCTTCAACATTTTGCTGCAGAGCAGTGTAGTACAAGAACATCAGAGAATTGCTGTAATAGAAGCTATAAAGAAAATGATATAAAAATGATAGTGGTTACAGATTCAAAAGCTCATTTTCAGTACTTAAAGCCAGACTAAGGAACCTCTTACAAAAAGATGAATTCATAAGAAATAAACTCACTCTTGACTGTTTCAGAATCATCAGGGCTTTTGCTGGTAGTCTTACTTGTTTCAGGGTTACCAGTACTTCACAGGAAGCATAAATATTGTGGTGCACTTGGCATTACAGAATCTGTTTGTTGACTTTATGACTTGTGCTACAATTAAACTGTTTTAGCATGTTGCAAAAAACTGTAAAACTCAAGATAAACACAATCAGACTGTTGCCGTCTCATCTGACTAGTTTAGCCAAGGTTTACAGTGGGTTTTACTAACCCATTACATATCACATCATGCTTTTAGTAAAAGTGTATATCATTTAAGTTGAGCCTCATTTAAACCAGATGTGCACCAAATCTGTGTAAAACCTCAGGTTCACTCAACTCTAGTGCTGATTAGCTGCTTTCCACAGGACACACAGCAGCTGGGTTTGGACTAAAACACAAATGAAGTTCAAACTGCAGCATCTGAGGACACTGTAGCGGGGTTTAAGAAACCACTTGTTTCCAACAGCACAGGTTCACAAAGGTCTTAAAAGTTAAACCACATCAAAGCTACTAGTGCATGAATAGCTCTGATGTACCTATCTGAGATATACGTTCCTTGTCCTGCCTAATGTGAACATCTTTAAAATAAGTGACTCAAGGGAAAAAGTAAAATTTAATTTGCCATCATCCTGTAAATACTGTTGGTGTTTACAGTAGCTGAAGTTCAGCAAAAGTTACATAAACTCACTTTAAGAATTGTTTAATAAAAAATGTTCTGGATTTTCTTGATACACTAAAAATTGACAAATATCCTCTGTAAGAGAGAAGAGGTTCAATCTGTCAACCTTCCTTCAGATTACCCAATGTTAACTATGTAGTTGGAAAGGAATACCTTTAAAACTAATTTTACCAGAAGCTAGTCTATCTACTGTGAATTGTTATGCAAAGTTTCCTGGTGCCAGCTAAAAGCTCATGAGGCACATAGGAATGCAAAGCATACATAAAAACTACATCTGAGTTTTGTATAAAAATCTTATTGACCCAAACCAGCTCCATGTGACAGCCCTGAGAAACTATTATAAGTGGGAGAGGACATTCACACCAGCCTGTGTCATAGGCCAGTAACACTGATTCCTGATGGCAGGTTCCTTTCTCTACAGAGGTACTTAGGCAAGTAGACAGCTACTCATTACCTGACCTGCTCTCTTCCACAACTCCAATGGGCAGCTAAAACTGAAGATGAATAGTGAATTCTGAAGTGGATCTGCCAGAATCACTGATAAAGACAAGAAGCATCTTGACCTAGTTGCAGTCCAGAGAGAAGTGCAGGTGTTGGATAAGGCTAAAAAAACCTGAAGGTGTGCAGCAGGTTCAGGTTATAGGTTCAGGACTGCTGGCTGCTCCACTGGTTGGCCATGGGCCTGCGGAGCAGCTCCTCCACATGACGGGCCACGTCCATTGTGTCCTCCAGGTCAAACTCTCCATCTGCATCCAACATGGTGTCATTCCTGACAGGGTAAGAACAGACAGCCATTCAAACAGGAGGAAGGTCAAATTCGTACTATGGACTTGCTGCAACATATTACTATGCACATATAGCTGGGTAAACTTAAAAAAAAAACAACACATTCATAAAACATCGTTTCAGAAATTAACTAACATACTTACACTTCCAATCAAAACAGACATATTTACCTAGATTAAATTATTATATTTAAAACCAGCAGCTTCAACTCCCAGTAACCAACTTTAAACCTCCAATGTGGAACTTGCCCTTTTAGCCCGCTTCACTCTTACATGCCCACAGAGCCACTACTGAGCTCCGTAGTTCCATAGCTCGGAGACGCTGGATTTTAATAACCTCCCTTTTAAGAAATGGAATTACTAACTATACCAGCTTCCAATCCAAAATACTTTTTTGACTCACAAGGGACACTTTGATAATATGGGTTCAGTTCAGAAAGCATATTGATTTGTTTGATCCTCCCTCTCAAGTTCTATTTTATTTAAGGATCAGCATTCATCTTTCAACCTTCTTTGCACAATTCTGCATTGCAGGAATGGCACTAAAAGGGTTATCAGGCAACTTAAAGATCTTTTTCTTTACATAATTTGAACAACTTTCTGAGAAATCCAGCCTACCAAATACCTAGTTATCTGCAGGTACCTGAAAGTGTTTCAGAATCTTCAAACTAAAGGTTTTATTTCCTCACTTTCTTTTTCTCTGCCATGGCTGGCTGTAAACCAGTACAAATACAAGGTATTTGTGATTATTTTAAAAGTCAAAAATATTGAGGAAAAATATCAAACTATATTTAAAGTAAAAGGAAGTAAAAGGAAAGCAAGTCAAAACATTCTTTGAAGGAAATTTGCCCCTTTCGTGTAGTGCCCACAGGACTGTACCTTGAGTCAACAAATGAAGTAAAGACACATACTTACATAGAAGGGTAAACACCAAAGTTGTTGGGATGGCTCACGGAGGGAGACGTTGTCTGGTCCATGAATGTTGGAGCTCCACTGGGTTCAGGGTTTGGGGTGGTAAATCTGCCAGAGACATATGTCACATATTCCTTCAGCTGCCATAACCATAGTCATCTATGAAAGCTCTACTGAAAAGCTTGTAGCCTGAATCATAACTGACTCGGTCCTTAAACTACTAACTACTTTTCAGAACATTATAAGGCATTCATCTGTTAGGTGTCCGAATGGTTTCCTATTTTAGAGAAGACGGACACATGGTACAGGGTCTGACTCTTTTTGGGATTCATACACCAAATGCAAATTAAGCTTCAGGAACTTGCTACTATTACTGAGTCCTGTCAGATTCAATGGTGTGGGAGAGGTGAAGTAGGTCACCTGTGGCAGTTTAAGAAAAGAAAAACAAAAACAAAAGAAAAGTACTTACTCTGGCACAACTTGTTTTATCTGTGGTTTTACATATCCATCCACTGCTTTTGCTGCAAGAGAGACATAAACCCTAAAAAACTAGAATTTAAAACTGATAACAGTACATGAGTGTGTACCGAGTTTGTTCCACCAGCTTAGGCTTTTAAAACCTGCTACAACATTTGCTGAGTTATATAAACATGTTAGTTTCTGGAAAGTATTCTTTGTTTATTGAAGAAAAATATCTTATTTACAGAGGTGTGTATTTACCACAGGGCAGTGATAACTGAACAGCAGTAATAGCATTGGTACATACAGAGAGGAGGGGTGTAGTACTTGGCGAAGACCTCATCCTTAGGTCGGTCAGGGTAGAGAAACAGAAGGTGGCTCAAGTCGCTGATGCGATCAGCCAGGGAGCGAATGGAAAAGTCTTTGGTTGTATAAGGCAACAGATTCCAGACCAACCTCTCACCTAGCCAAACAGAGGAACAACAAAGCATTACACTCCCTGTATTTACCAAGACAATACTGTGTGCAGTGATAAAGATGTCTGATGTATTGACTTGCACATACATGGATGAACATATGGAAGAAAATCAAAATGGAATGCTGCATTTCAGCACAGCAAAATTTTACCTGCATGTTTATTCCTTCATACATCTATGTGTTATTCTAATAACATTAGATTTAATTGCTGTAAAAATCCCACTCAATATAAAAAAAGCACAGCCATTTAGTACCTGGTTTGTTTGGATTGTCAGCCACCCAGGCGATGGTTATGCCTCCAATCTCAGAGTCACTGAATCGCAGCAGGAAGGTGCCGTTGGGTTTGGAGAGTAGCATGTCCTGTGCCTGCTGCTTATTTACAAAGCCCAAAATGGCCCTGCAAACAGTGCACAGATGCACGTTTTCACACATGATACACTTGAATGCACTTTCCCCTGAGGGCAGAAATAATTGTATCTGTGACATGTTAAAAGACCTAAGGCTAAAAATGGGCATCTGAGCATGGTTTGCCTTTTTAGTGTAAAACAGTGACATACTGTGCTATCTGAAGTGATCCTCTGAGAACTACACAGGGAACTCTTGGTCTTCCTTTCCCAGGGAAGTCCTCATGCCATTTTCATCACTGTGCTTGGTGGATTTTCTGACTGCAACTGAAGAACCTTTCCAAGTTCTTTATTACTATATAATTTACTGATCACCATGTCTTCAAGCCTCTTTACTCAGATGAGTGGCTCTTTTTATAACATGGATTACTACTAGGGATTTAACAATATTTGTACAGGCAACTGATTTTTAATCTGACTGATTGCTCACAGTTGCTTGCTTGCTCATATTTTGCATACTGAGTGATTATCACTTTCAATACTAGAATCAGTACTAATTGATTCTTACTATGATTATTTTTCCACTGATAAATTTAACTTTAGTAAAGCCCCTCTAACTTTTGCACTCAAACTCTAGACCACTCAAAGAGTGAGTGAGAATCAAAAATTCAGGTGGAAACCCCCCCCCACAACCAGAATAATTCAGTAAAATGATACAAAAAATGAAATGCTAACATTGGGTGGCTTGCTAATGATGCCAACTTTAGGGCTGCAACAACTAACTGACAAAAATCGATGATAAAAATAGTTGGCCACAAATTTAATTATCGATCAGTTGGGTCTAGAGTCATGAATCTGCATGAGAGGGCCCAGAGCAGACAGGGCCAGGTCAGGGACTGTGCAACCACTACTGTTCCACACTCTAGTACATTAGGTGGCGGTATTGCATCTAAAGCTGGTTTACCAACCACCAATCAAAAGAGGAAGGAGAAGAAGACTGGGTGAGAACATCAGTGAGGCGTATAACCACTGCGCCACCGTGCTGCCCCTTCCCTAAGTTGTTTATCTTATTTAATTTTTCCCCATCATATGCTATTACAGGCATGGGCAAACTATGGCCCGCAAGGCCATATACAGCCAGTTAGGCTTTTTATTCTACTCTGAAAAGCTGAAAGCTCAGGTGTGGGGGAGCCTGAAAAGCATGACTGG